AATCTGACCGTCACCTAAGACCTGTTTGCCTTGGGAGACCCTATCAGGGGTATATAGTCCCTGACAACATAGCGCCTAGGATCATTTGGGTACTCAAACCCCTCCACCATGATAAGGTGGCAGTTCAAGAAGGATGGCCTCTATAATTTTATGATTACAATATAATCATAAAAGCAGTGACTGAGCAGTGGTTATATTTTATGATTACAATATAATCACTGCTCATTTCACTTTTGGGTGACAGTATTAGTAACTGTGTTCTGTGGGACAGTGGTGTTGAAAGCTGGAGTTTTTTGGAGTGAGGCTGTAGTGCCATCTGCTGAAAAAATTAAATTAAATTAAATTAACAATAGGCTATAGTAGACAAAGAATAGTCATGTTAAAACCTAGCAATAATAAAAATAATCTCAATGTTTTTGATAGTTTTTTTTATCAATCTTGTCTAGGCTATTTTTTGTTTGAGAACATATCGCTCATTTTTGACAAATTTATAAGATAAGATAAGATAAGATAAGATAAGATAAGATAAGAAAATCCTTTATTGTCATTGTCACACACACAGTCATATTATATTTTAGCAGCATTGAGTGTGGTAACTGCTGTTGGGTAAAAACTATTCCTGAATCTAGTGGTTTTTGAGTTGATTGCTCTGAACGAAGGCAGCAGTTCAAACAGTGAACGCCCTGGGTGATCTGTGTAGCTCTTCCAGAGGAGGAGAGGGCAGCCGACAATCTCCTGGTCCGTATTAATGACCCTCTGGAGCGTTTTCCTCTTAGCCACTGTGCTGCTGCTATACAGCACACATATACAGTATGCAAGGATTCTCCCAGTGCTTCTGTCAGATTTTTCTTTTAAAATGCAACTCTAATGTGCTTAACTAATGATTTTATGTCGATAACAATCGGATATTTTTATCATGGTTTTCCCCGTGGATGTATTAAGTGCGAATGTTTGCCATTAGTATCCTTAGGTCAGAGAAACAGCTATCAGCGTAACCCTATTACGAGCTGACGCACAGGCCATACGCACACGGTATAAAATCATGTTTTCTGACGTCAGCGGCCTCTTCCCTGCCTATGCCCTCGTGAGGTGGGCAGTGTAAAATTTTGTCAGCTTTTTCCATTAAGTGAATCCTAAAACATCGGGCAAAATGGTGAGTCTTAAGTATTTTTCTGGAGTGATTAAACAGTTGTCGGACCTACGTGGTGTCCTTTGAGCCCAATATTAATCTTAACATTCTGCTATTTTACAGATGCTATGCTGTTTACATGTCAGGGTTGTGCTTTGATCGAAATGGCAACCATTTTGTCATATGTACTACTAGCTCCATAGGCCCGCTGAAACTCAAGAAGATCAGTTCTGACCGGTCGCTGTTATCCCGGTTTTTATGTGCTTAGGGCTGTTACATTTATTACAGGTTTGAGTGACGAAATGTCAAAGTGGGTTGAAATAGTCAGTTAACGTTAGCTATAAGAGTTGCGGTGTCTGCTAACTTTGATAGTGGCGGTTTTTAATCTAACAAGCTCTTGTTCTATTTAAATCGTGCCAATATTGATACAGACATAATGTATTTATGACAAGGATACAATTTAAATGTATTATTTGTGGTGGGGCGAGATGCGTGAAGGAAATATCTGTTTTTGAAGTTGTACTTAGTTGGAGAGCTATAATGCCGGCATTTCGTATTCACCGGCTCGTCCGGCCAGTTTAGCTATAGAGCTAATGTTAGCATGTAGCATAATGTCAAAGTCTGTACACGTGGCCTATTCAAGGCTACATGTTATGCCAGGTGTTGCTGGGTTAATTCGTTTTTTACGAAGGATTTGTTTAACACAAGTTTAGTAATGAAGCTTCTTCTACTCTGGATATATTGACAAACACTGATAAACAAAGTTGTTAATAATGTTCTTCCTAGCATAGCTAACAATAACGTTGATGGCGGATACCCAACGACCAGGGTGGAAGTGCCGAACATTTTACAGTGCGTCAGCAACATATTTCTCTATCCTCTGGGTGCATTTATATGCGTAATAACTGAAAGACAACAGCCTATTGATTCTTAGTTGTGGAATTAGTAACGTTTGTATACTGAAATGGAAGTAAGCTTAACATGAACGTAAGTGACTGTGAAGTAGTGAAACGGGTATGCAGCCATTGCATTTTAAGCAATTCTATTTTGCAGTGTATGCACATTAGTACCTTTTAACTTAAGTAGGTATTTATGTTTGTCCCTTTTTATTACCTAAAATAATGGCCAACGAATCAGTCCCTGGCCGTGGATCAGGATGACACAGCATCCAGTCATAAACCTGATTGTTGGCCTGCTTGACAGAAAGCCCCACCAAAATATTCTTGTTTCCCTTTTTTGTGAATATTCAAATCTGACCTTTTTTCCCTCTTCAGGTGAACTTTACCATAGACCAGATCCGTGCTATCATGGACAAGAAGGCCAACATCCGTAACATGTCTGTGATTGCTCATGTCGATCATGGAAAGTCAACTCTGACAGACTCACTGGTGTCAAAGGCTGGTATCATTGCCTCGGCTCGTGCTGGGGAGACCCGTTTCACAGACACACGCAAAGACGAACAGGAACGTTGCATAACCATCAAGTCTACGTAAGTATCTTGTAATATTTTTAACTACAGTCTTTCATTGTACCTTTTCTATACTGTGGTTTCACTAACTGTAGGCCTGTGTCTGACTGCTGATGTTTGGTATCAAGTAGAAAATTGTTTAAGGGCAGCCTGAGCAACACCTGCTCATGTGTCATTTCTTCACGTTTGTGTTTACTGGAGAATCTAGGTGGTACAAATGGCCTGCTTGAGAACGTCTCTCTCTTATAAGTTGCCCACAATGCGGTCAACCAGTCACTGTTTATTTTAGCTATGTTGACAATCCCTTTTTTGAGTAACTGTATAAAAACAATTATGCATAGTAGTAAACTTAATTTATGCTTAATCTGAGCCATAGATGTGTTGACAAGAGTTTGAGTTGTTAAACTTGACATCTGACTTTGTCTTAACTTTCAGCGCCATCTCAATGTTCTATGAGCTCAGTGAAAATGACATGGCCTTCATTAAGCAGGCCAAGGATGGTTCTGGCTTCTTAATCAACCTGATTGACTCACCAGGACACGTTGACTTTTCATCTGAAGTGACTGCTGCTCTCCGTGTGACTGATGGAGCCTTGGTTGTAGTGGACTGTGTGTCTGGTAAGGAAGGATGAGGTCTCAAACTGGATTCTGTTTTTCACTTGCACATTTTTTTCTTAGTCAATAAGCAGAAGACTGCAGGTCAAACTTTTACAGTGCTAGTCAAAGCTTTATATCAGAAATATACAAAACTAGTCAAAATTGAATCACATTTTCAGTGGTGTAAAATAGATCTGTGTTCATTAAAACAAATTACTACAAAAATAATGTCCTTTACTTGGCCCACTGGACAGCTTGCTTATAAAAGTCTTAAATAATCTCCAGTGTACATATTTTTCTTGCAAGACATCTTTCTTTGCTTGGAAATGTGCATATTCTGTGCTGCTTGTGTTAAATCACATTCGCATCTTAACCTGCATGGGCTAAATTATCTGTCTACCCCCCTAGGTGTTTGTGTGCAAACTGAGACAGTGCTCCGTCAGGCCATTTGTGAGCGTATCAAGCCAGTCCTGATGATGAACAAGATGGATCGTGCCTTGTTGGAGTTGCAGCTTGAACCAGAAGACCTCTATCAGGCTTTCCAGCGTATTGTTGAGTCGGTCAATGTGATCATCTCCACGTACGGAGAAGATGAACATGGACCTATGGGAAACATTATGGTGAGTGGCTGTCTGAACTTTTTATCACAAGTGGCGCGCTCACCGTTGGAACACCTCAAGCACACCATGAATTTTATGTCTTGTCTCAAGTAAAATTGCGTGTCAGAATGACTAGAAACATTTAATGAAAATTCTTTAAAGTGTACTGTGCTCATGATGATGTGGCGATGCCACCTGTCCTAGGTTGATCCAGTCATTGGTACTATTGGCTTTGGCTCTGGACTCCATGGCTGGGCTTTCACTCTGAAGCAGTTTGCTGAGATGTATGCAGCCAAGTTTGCTGCCAAAGGCAACACCCAGATGACACCAGTGGAGCGCTGCAAGAAGGTGGAAGACATGATGAAGAAGCTGTGGGGTGATAGGTGAGTCTCTAAAACAGAGCACTTGATTGAAGTGCATATGACTGGGGCATGTAGCTAGCAGTAAAATAGTTGTATGGGAACACAGTGAATTCTTTGTAAATCCCTTTTATCTCAAACAGAATTTGGGTGTGTTACCAATGTAGTTGTTTCTGGCTATTGATTAATTATTACACCTTATGTATTCTAGGTACTTTGATGTAGATAATGGAAAGTTTGTCAAGACTGCTACTGGAGCTGATGGCAAAAAGTACCCCCGCACCTTTGTTGCTCTCATCCTGGACCCCATCTTCAAGGTAACAAAACTGGACAGGACATTGTTGTTTTTTTAGACATTCAGATACAGTGCATCTAAAAAAAAAAAAAAAAAAAGCAACAATGGTCAGGGAGCTACATTTGGTAATAAGGTTATTGTAAAATCTGACCAAAATAAATAGTTGGTCTTAAATGCCTGCAAATGATGACTTGAAAATTCTTCACTTTGACCTGACTAATCTGTGATGATCACCTTTTGTCTGAGCAGGGCATGGAATCAATGGTTTGTTTAAACAACCTTGGCGTGATCATGTTAAAACATTCTGCTTATCGAAATGAATACCTTTTTAGGTGTTTGATGCCATCATGAACTTTAAGAAGGAGGAAACTGCCAAACTGATCCAGAAGCTGGAAATCAAGTTGGATACTGAGGACAAGGACAAGGAGGGTAAACCTCTCCTGAAGGCCGTCATGCGGCGCTGGCTGCCTGCTGGAGAAGCCCTTCTGCAAATGATCACCATCCACCTGCCTTCCCCTGTCACTGCCCAGAAGTACCGCTGTGAGCTGCTCTATGAAGGACCCGGTGATGACGAGGCTGCCATGGGTATGAAGCTGATTCATTTTACATTTGCTCATGCACAGCAATGAAAAGTCAAATCTACTGCACATGCATAATTTTAATAATTGTTTGTTGTTTTGGGATTTTTACTGACAGACTAAATTGTTTACCTAGGTATCAAGAACTGTGACCCCAAGGCTCCCTTGATGATGTACATCTCAAAGATGGTCCCCACCAGTGACAAGGGTCGCTTCTATGCATTTGGTCGTGTGTTCTCTGGGTGTGTCTCCACTGGCCTGAAAGTACGCATCATGGGACCAAATTTTGTCCCTGGAAAGAAGGAAGACCTCTACTTGAAGCCAATACAGAGGTTGGTTTCAACATTTGGCATATATATTGGCACATCAGTTATGAGGTCACTTAAACAGATATTAGTTGCATCTGAATTGAATTTCTCTTCTGCTCACACACTTCTCTTTTCCAGGACCATTTTGATGATGGGCCGTTATGTTGAGCCCATTGAAGATGTGCCATGTGGCAACATCGTGGGTCTGGTTGGAGTGGACCAGTTCCTTGTCAAGACTGGAACAATCACCACCTTTGAGCATGCACACAACATGAAAGTGATGAAGTTCAGCGTCAGCCCTGTGGTGAGAGTTGCAGTGGAGGCCAAAAACCCTGCTGACCTGCCTAAACTGGTGGAGGGCTTGAAGCGTCTGTCAAAGTCAGATCCCATGGTGCAGTGCATCATTGAGGAGTCTGGAGAACATATCGTTGCTGGAGCTGGAGAGCTGCATCTGGAGATCTGTCTGAAGGATCTGGAAGAGGATCATGCTTGCATTCCACTGAAGGTGACTAAAAGCAGCATTTGAATAAACAGAGATTATATTTAATCTATGTGTACTAATGATAAGATCTGTAAAAATCAAATGGATAAAGTGACGTGTCATTTTCATGTTCCAGAGGTGAACATTTCTGCAGTAAAACATTTTTTTCTTTTTAGAAATCTGAACCAGTGGTATCCTACAGAGAGACAGTCAGCGCCGAATCAGATGTCATGTGTTTGTCAAAGTCACCCAACAAGCACAACCGTCTGTTCATGAAGGCCCGTCCCTTTGAAGAGGGCCTGGCAGAAGACATTGAGAAGGGAGAGGTTTCTGCTCGTCAGGAGCTTAAGGGTCGTGCGCGTTACCTCGCTGACAAGTACGAGTGGGATGTCACTGAAGCCAGGAAGATCTGGTGCTTTGGGCCTGATGGAAATGGCCCCAACCTGTTGGTCGACGTCACCAAGGGAGTGCAGTACCTTAGTGAGATCAAGGATAGCGTTGTGGCTGGCTTCCAGTGGGCAGTCAAGGAGGTAAGGGGGCAGTTGAATTCCCTGTTTCTTGCACTCAGACAAGTCTTATTTTGGGTAGTATTGTGTTGTTTTTAAGTAGTTGTGTGCTTTGTCTATTTGGTGTTCCCTAGATGTGCTTTTGATCTACATTTGGTGTGTTTTCTTTAGGGCGTCCTCTGTGAAGAGAACATGCGTGCCATTCGCTTCGACATCCATGATGTGACCCTGCATGCAGATGCCATTCATCGTGGTGGTGGTCAGATTATTCCCACAGCTCGCAGAGTTCTGTATGCATGCGAGCTCACAGCTGAGCCCAGAATTATGGAGCCCATCTACCTGGTGGAGATCCAGGTCAGTGCCAGTGGCCATGTAGTCTGACTTTTTCTTCTTACAATAACTGATTGGATTTTAGTCCTTTATTTAATCCTCTTGACTTTTGGAACTTGCTCACCAAGTTTGTCACACCTTTTGGGATTTGCCAGGGCATAGTTGCCGAGGGTTTTACTTGTTACAAATTGGCGTTCTTTTTTTTTTACCAGAGTTGTTAGATCTTGTAGTTGGCTGTTATTTCACAGATTTGAGTATTTTCTGTAAAACTTTTTTCCACTCTGCAGTGTCCTGAAGCTGCAATGGGTGGAATCTACGGTGTGTTGACCAAGAGGCGTGGTCATGTGTTTGAGGAGTCCAGTGTCATGGGAACACCAATGCGTGTCATCAAGGCCTACCTGCCTGTCATGGAGTCATTTGGTAAGTCCTCTTAACCATGAGTATAACGTGAAAGTGTTAATTTTGTCTGATTCAATTTATGTTGGTATGTTTTATTAGCTTTAGTTACACATTACTGACAGTTTTAATGCTGTAAAAGTAATGATTTTTGTGTGAAGTTGACATTGAAGTCAAATTGTTTTTAAGGTCATGGGTTTGTGTAGTGTCATCATGGTTGCGTAGTGGGACATTAGGCATGGGAAATGGATCAGTTTGCCTGGGCGTATCAGAGTACAATTGTTTACACGTATCATGACCTGCCTCCTCCTGTGTGTTTTTGATGTGCTTTTCAGTTGGTTTGGAAATGTATGGTTTCTAATCCTTACAATCAGCAACAGTAAACATTAGACACAGTATGTTGCTAAGACCCAAGCTTGTTTTTAGTGCAGCAACTCAATTTTCATAGTAAGCAGAAGAGTTGTTTTACCATCACAGCAATATTGTAGTGTATGCAGGTGGATATTACAGTTATGAATCGAATGTCTTTCACGTTCATTCTTGGCCTAAATAGTCAATTTTTGTTTACAATGCTACTTTATTGCTTTTTTTTATAAAAACATTAACAGATACTTGAATTACAAAATATAATGGAGGCTAACAAGTGGGTGCTCCCCCAGAATGTCTTGACCCTCATTTAATTACAACTTGATAGCGTTGTGTATATGTATATGTAAACTTCACAGCAAGTGTATTTAAAAAGTACTGTCAGCCAGGTGTTGTAATTAACTTGAAGAATAAAAGCAGTTTTTAAAATTAAGCATTAGCAGTAGAGGGAAAAATTGGTTCATTGAAATGGCAGGGAGTAGACTGAGCAAAGTGCAGATTCATGGCATAGTGCTTTTTTTCTTTTCTTTTTTTTCTCCTCCTCCAGAGCCAATCATGTAACTTCAGTACATCATTATCTTTTTGTGTGTCCTAGAAACTTAAGGGTATGTAGTGTTGGCTGCCATCTGACACTGAAAGCTCGTTAAATGGTGACCAAATGGGAAAACAGATGCTCATTGCAACATTTGTGTCTTTTGCACACATTAATTGCCATGTAGGGGGCGGCGCAGTGGTTAGCACTGTTGCCTCACAGCAAGAAGGTTCCAGGTTCAAGCCGGGGAGTGTGCAGAGTGTGGGTTCTCTCCGACTTGCTCCAACAATCCACAGCTTAGGTTGATTGGTGACTCTAAATTTCCCCTAGGTTGTTTGTCTACATGTCAGCCCTGCCTCTTGCCCATTGTCCACTGGGATAAGTCACGACCCTATTCAGAAATAAGCTGTAGATAATGGATGGATCATACTGAACCATATTCGTTGTCTGTTTCAAGGTTTCACAGCTGACCTTCGTTCCAACACTGGTGGCCAGGCCTTCCCACAGTGTGTGTTTGACCACTGGCAAATCCTCCCTGGAAATCCAATGGAGCCTTCTAGCAAGCCAGGTATAGTTGTCATGGAGACACGCAAACGTAAGGGTCTCAAAGAAGGTGTTCCAGCCTTGGATAACTACCTGGACAAATTGTAAAAGCCCAGACCCCACTTGGCTGTTACTTCATTCCTTCTTTCCCAACAAATTCCAGTCTACATCATGTGACCGGACTGTACAGAACATGAGCTGTTGCCACAAAGTTCATCAGTAAATAAACTACAAAAATTGTAAACAAATAAAGGAAAATAAAAACATACGAGTGAGTGAGGCTTTTTTTTCTCCTTGATTGTGTGCTTACTGTTACTTCAGATGTTTATTCCAGTGGCTACTTAAATCTAAAGTAGCCATGCTTTAAATAGAATAAAGGTCCATGCTTGTATTGCAAATATGTCAGATTTCCAGGTTGAATTTCACAAACCTTGGTTATTGCAGTTTAACCTTTTGTGGCCTTGCTGGTTAAATATTATGCTGTTAATTTAATTTTAATGTTCAACTATCTATTCTTTTTAAAAATGCTTTCTTGCCTCATTCTTTGCTTAGGCACATTAAAGGTCTGTTATCTTTGTTTTTAGGTTTGATATACAACCTGTTGAAGGTTTGGGAACTTTCTCTGACCATTTTGCTCTAAAAGGGAATACATTTAACGGTTAAAATTCTGCCACCAGAACCTACAAGAATAGAAATCCATGCTGGTATTGGACCTCAGCAGCACTGGCTCTATTCTGTGTGGATTCCCTTCCCCTGCAGAGGTGGTCTTTAAGATAAATAGGCAGCATTATAGATGCTGAGTTATCCTGTACTGCTATTAGAGTTGCTGTTTGTCAATGTGTGCCCTTGGCTTCGCAATATAAAGTGATAGCTTTGTTTGCATTGCCATTCCCTGGTTTTCTGCATAAGTTGTTACTGAAATGTGACCTGATCTTCACCAAAGCCGTATGTCAACAATCAAGCTTTCTAAGATGATAAAACAAGTAATCTTTCAGGTCTTTGTTGAGCACATCCATTAACCATACAGTGAAAAACCTCTGAACAAGCAGGACAACCACAGTGCTGTCTACTGTAGACTTTGGAAATAAAAAATAAAAAAAGGTACATCAAGGAGCCAGGAGCCGGTGGACACTTTGCTGTCTTGCAATGCTATCATACAGCATCGTAGTTAGACGTGTATCGTACAAAATCTAAATCATTAGAATATACAGTAGGTGTCACGAAATCACAAGTCTTCCACTTCCGGGAAAACTTTCGAAATAAAGGTTGGGCAGTGGGCTTGAGATTTTGGGGGGATTGAAGCATACCATTATAGTTCATTAGCGGCACTACATCCTACAGTTTGATTAAACTTTATTCCGGTTTGAATTACGACGGTAAAGGACAGTACAAATAAGACACATTGCCATAAAAATAGGGAAACTAAAATATAAAGTATAATACAAATAAAGTAGACTACATAACGAAAAACGATGGGAGTTTGTCTTATTCCAATAAAGTGCATATTAGTATTTAAGATGTCAAAATGTTCATTGGCTTCATTCTAAGGGCTGATCTTTGTTAAACATTTACTCTAATACTGTACCGTTTTACAAATTTGAGGTAGCCTACTTGTATTTTACTTGAGTATTTATATTTTATGCAGCTATATACTTTCAATTTTCGTTCAATCTCCTAAGAAATCCTACGCAACTAGGGAGAACTTTCAAGAGTTTAGATTAATATTCTCGTACTGTTATATACCGGTGCAGGCGGTAGCGAAGGGGAAATCTCCATTCAACCAATCACGAGTGTCTGTACCGACCAATCAGATGACAGATAGGCTTCTCTTCCTGTTTGGCCGAGATATTTATTATCCGGTGAGTATTAGAAACGCTTATCTAAAAATATATATTTTTTTTATAAACATACCTCTGTCCTGGGTGGACAAACTTAATTTAGTGTATGAATTATATATTTTGTTTCTTCTAAAGAATGGGCAGTTCAAATTATCTTTTTGCGCGGATATTGTCCGTTGTGTGTATGTGAACCGTGCGACCAGTTAGCCACACTGAACTGCTAGCAGGCAGGTTAGCCTAATTGGCAGCGGCATCACAGGGGGAGAATTAATGAAATTCACAACTGCGCTCATGTTTTTTAAAGCCTCTCTCACTTTATTTTGCCCATGATATAACCCAAACTGATTGTTGTCCGTTTGTACTTTTATCTCCAATAAATAGTCAATTTCTCGTACGGAGATCATGGGGGGAATCAAACAAGAGCAGAGTGAAGCATCACAGCAACCCAAAGCTTCACATTCAGCAGATCAACCGCAAGATGAGGTGAGCCCTGATGCATCTGACCAGGATGATTAGAATTTGTGTAAAGTACCTGTAATTTGCAATACACGAGCCTGTTGAAAGAGCAAGGCTGTTAGGTTTTGCAGCTCACGTTTTGTGAGGAGTTAAACGGCTTACTGTACACTAATTCGCCGTTTTATTAAGACAATGTTACATGAGGGGACACACTAGGGATGACTTCGCATAGGCCTACATGCTGCCTTGCAGCGTCTTTATATAACACTTGTGTACAATAACTGAAATAAAACAACACAGCTGATGAATAAAATTGACAATAAATGGAATAAATGCCTCTCAGTCTAACTCAGTACAGGTTACCATAAACTGCTTCCTGAAGAGAATAACATTGAAATGTGTTGTATTGATGGTAGGATTTGTTACAGAATTGTCTATATTAGAGTGAATGTATTTGGGCTGACATAATTAGTCAGCATAAAGTCAAGTAATTGTTTACATTTTTAAATCAAAGATAATAGAAATTCTGGTCTTAACTGCTGACATTTTCAGGTTTTCTTAGTCTTATGTCATAGTAAGCTGAATATCTTTGGGATATGCAGTGTTGGTTTCACAAAACAAGCAATTTGAACAATGTCATCATGCTCTGCTCTGCAGCCAAAGAAGAGAGGCTGGCCAAAGGGAAAGAAAAGAAAGAAGGTGCTACCAAATGGTCCCAAGGCACCAGTAACGGGATATGTCCGCTTCCTGAATGAACGTCGGGAACACATGCGGGCTCGATACCCTGACTTACCTTTCCCAGAAATCACCAAAAGACTAGGAGCAGAGTGGACACGATTGGCCCCAAACGACAAACGGGTAACTTTTTGAGTTTTCCATGTACTACATACCTGTAGTAATTTAAGTGTGCAAGGTTTTAAAGGATGCTTTATTACAAAGAAAACTATGCTTCAAGAATATAATTGCAAGTGTTATTGTATTTGAGTTATGCTGTGAGAGTCATCATTATCTTTCTTACTTCAATATAATGTCACTCGCATTAAGTTCTATTGTTTGACTTTATTTTTGTTTAAGATATTTCTCAGTAGTTTTTTTTGTCAGATGTGTGGTTGTGAAATGTGTTTGCAGGCAAATAATTTTTATGACATAATGACCAGTTTCCAAAAAGCATTATTTAAAAAAAAAGTTTCAAATGATCAAGCACAGACCTATTATTTCTGTTTATCGACAGCGTTATCTGGATGAGGCAGAACGGGAAAAGATACAGTACGCTCAGGAACTGAAGGAATATCAACAGACTGAGGCCTATCAAATCACCAGTGCTAAGATTCAGGACAAAAGGGTCAAAAAAGGTGATGACCAACTTCTATTTATCTAATGTTTTTCATGTTGGTTAATGCTTAGGTGTGTGTGTGTGTGTGTGTGTGTGTGTGTGTGTTTATTGGTTACTGTGCCTAATAAACAACCACTACATCACTGGGCAAATAGAAAGATAGTATATATTTGACACATCATTATTTGGTGCAGTGTGAGCTGTATTATACACATATATTTTCTTTTTCAGAAGACACTTCATCAGTCATCATTGGTACTAGTTCAGGGTCATCTTTACCAAAGGTATATGACACTTCTTCTGTCTTATCACTGTTAATTCTGCCCTGGAATTTTCCCATAAATTCTAGACAGCTATATAATCCATTTGCTGTTGATGTCTTTGTCTTTCAGGCTTCTGACCTTTCAAGCAGATTTGACATCCCTATCTTCACAGAGGAATTCCTCGATCAGAACAAAGGTAACTGAGAAACTGTAAACAGGAAATTTGTCATTCTTATGTGTAACATGTAAGTTCACTGCATTCAGCGTGATTGTGTACTTAGAGTTGTGCTGTTACATTATTAAGTCTATAATTTACATATTCCATCTAAGACAGTCTTACATATAATACTTTTGTATTTCATTCCTTGTGGTTTCAGCTCGCGAGGCTGAGTTGCGAAGGCTTCGTAAGGCCAACATTGAGTTTGAGGAGCAGAATGCAGTGTTGCAGCGTCACATTAAAGACATGTACAACGCTAAAGAGCGACTGGAGGCTGAACTGGGACAGGATGAAAAGCGTACCCAGGCTCTTCAGCAACACTTGCTGGCCATTAAGCATACACTGGTTAACAGCCTCTCCTCAGTCCCCTTGCCAGGTCAGCAGTCAGGTGGCTGTATTTAGTCTGAAAACAGACAAACATATACTGTAGCAACACCCCTGCATGATATTAGAAAGATCTCCTGGTATCAGGTTATAAGAGGCTCATTTTGCTTCTTCTCTTACTGTTAATGCATTAATGAAGTTCAACTACTTAACTGACTCAGCAACTTGACTGTTAAATACCTGTCTATTATAACAGCGAAAATAAACAGAAACCTTGGAATTTCCCATGAGAAAATCAAATAAAATAACTTAATGCTGTGGATTTGATTCTTCTGCATTTTCTCTGAACAGGTACAGGTGAGACAGCATCTTTTGGGAACCTTGACTCGTACCTGAGCCGGCTCAGTGGAGTGCTCGAGGGAAACCCCCATAAGCATCGTGCACTGCTCGCTCAGCTTTGTGAGGTCCTCTCTCATCTGGACAGGTAACTAATATCAATTGCATTTAAGCTTTGTATGACCACTGATACCATCTAACTGATTGCTACTAAATGTACCTGACTACCAGTTATACGCATCATTCACAGTGTTATCTGGATTATTCCTTATTTGCTTAAAGAGTAGTAGTGTGACTGGTACAAGGGAAATGAGAACACAAGATGAGTTGCTCAGTTCCATAGTGTCAATGTACCGTCTAAGAGAGAACAGCTTGTTCAGTGGCCTTGAGGCAAACTGAGTTTGAGACAGCTGTTTTTGCATGTTTCATCATCATTAAAAGGGTTGAGATTCAGTTCATTGATGGTGTACATTAATCTTCATTGGTCAAATTGTTAAACGTTAAATAAGCAATTAGACTTTACCATGATGTTTAAGTGTGGTTGCAGTCAAGTTGAGCAGAATTTATAGTCGTATGAATGGGTTTAATAGTAATCCTGTGTACTTTCATTTGTTGTCAGTGAGAAGTTATGAGAACACTCCAGCTGGAGACCCTTCTTTCCTGCATCAGAGGGTCACATGACAGCCTCAGTGGTGCTGGGTCAAGTCAGTGCCATTCAACAAAGCATGTTGATATCTCAAGGACAGTAAAGGCAAGGGTGCAAATATTTCAGAATTCCACACACAGTCCCTGTCTACATGCCTCTTCCTTATGAATGTGCATTCCATAGAATATGTGTATTCAAGCACATGGTTTGCAGTGCAATTTTACATTTTGAACATTGAATTCGGTTTGACTCTAACCCTATTGTATAGCTTTGTATGAGCAGTTACCTATGGGCCAATGTCCTGTCCAATAACATAAGCCTAATTATCAGTTTACAATAAATGCCATTTGGCATGTGGGTGGGTGGGTATTGTGTACAGTGTGATATTTAGAATGCACGAAAAAGAAAAACCGGAAGGTGTGAAAATTAAATTTTGGGCCACATGCGTCTGAATTTACATCAATAATGGCAAGTTATGTAATGGACAAGCAGTTTCACATGTTGTCAGAATATTATATATTTGTCTAGTATATTTCGTATTTTTCAAATTCTCATTAAACTATATGTTTCCAACAAAGGGTAAATGTGTTCAATTTTGCTTTCTTAAATTGTTGTGACTTGTCTGAAATAATCCTAAATTGAGTTTAAATCTAATTACGAAAGAACCTGTTTTCCTTTGTCAAATCTGTACCGTTACTATGCTTTTGTGTGGTTTTGGTGAGCTGACCCTGAAGGAGAAACTGTAAAGATGCAAAGGATGTTCCAGCAGGGGGAGGTGTTGGACCATAGAAAGAATGTTGGACCAGAGTTCCATCAGTCTGATTGCTGGGTTTTTTTTGTTTTTTTTTATAAACAGGAAGGATGTTGAAAATATTCAGCACACTTTACAGTGACTCAGTATAGCTCAGGTTTTGCCAGTGAGATTCTTATCCTGCTTAAGATTTATAATTTGTGCCAAATAACATGTTTTTTTTCTGTATTCTGCAGAATTTAGGCCTCAACACTTCATCTGCTTCCTGTCAAGTATCATTTAGCAGTCAGCATATTAATATTGTCAAGATCTATGCGCAGTTTGTCAGTAAGCTAAGTTGCACAGTAGCATCGGAGTGAGACTGTTTTTCTTGAATATTAGAATTTGATTTAAAATATTGAAAGATGTTTTCCAATTTAAATTCTGCTGAAGAGATACAGTTTAAGGGACTTCATCTCTTGCTGTCAGTGTATGTAAAGGCCAGTGTCCTTTAAGTGCCAAGCAGTTATTTCTCAGCCCTGTTTGCCTTTCCTTTAAGGCTGGTTAATTTAGTTAAATATTTTTCACTGAATACTTCCACAAAGATGATAATATAGTATTTGATAATACTATTTTATAATTGTCTTAGCCAACTAAACAGCACTCTGAGTGCAAACCTGCCAGGGCAACTCAGTTTCCCCATAATGCCTTTTATATCTAAAAGCAGTATTCCTTGAATAGTCTGGCCCTCATAATACTGACCATAAAAACATACTGCTTGTATTTGGAATCATGGTGATAGCACTATTAAAAGTTATTCAAGAAAAGCAATAGACATGAGTGACCGCTAAATGCCATGAATAAATGGATAAATGTCCCATGCAGACTAACATAACAGTAAGCCTTGACAGAGGCACACAAGTCACACCATTTCTCTGCATGCAAGTCCACTTTTTAGGAGGGTGACCATGCCCCTATGCCCATGCTCCCTATGCTCAGCACAGTAGCTGTGCACTTTGGCCACAAGGTGGCTGGCATATTGGCAGTCTTTCTTTTACAAATTGCTAGCACCAAAATCTAATCAGTTGTTCCATGGGCCATTCCCTGTCTCCCCAAAAAAGTGACATCAAATCCCTTTACTGCTTTATGAGTTACGCTGGTAACAAACAAACAAACAACTCTGGAAAAACATTACCTCTGCTCCTGGCGGAGGTAATCATGGCAAATATGTGACAAAATGAATTAGAGGTGTGCCCCCCCCCCCCTCACCACCCCCTGACGTCACTACCAGGAGCTGTCCACGCAGAAGGTGGTGCTGAAGCTGAACAAGATGGCTGTGTGTGGGGGAGCGGAGAGCTAAGAGAAGGGGGAGAAACACACATATTTGGACAGTTACATCCCTAAGAAAGACACAGAGGATTGCTCTGGAAGTGTGAAGACATCTTTCCTCTTTGTATCAAACTCTGCCTGGCCCAGTCTCTGCTAGCGGTGAGAGGCATCTCCATCTTCAGCGATTATTCCCAAGCTTGTATCCTGCACAGATTAGCTCAATTAACGAAGCCGGTGAAGACCCTGGACCCTGTAAGAAAGGCACATATAAGAAATGTCATTGCTGTGTGTTGGAGGTAAGCGACAGTAACAGTCCACGTCTTGTCTGTTTGTTTGACCGGGTGTTGTGAGCAATTTAATAGCTCAAAGTCTTATCTGTGCCACTTTTGGCGGATTTAGCTGTGAAGAGAATGATCGATCCACCAATAATTTGGCCATTTTGCACAGAACTGTTAAATTTGCTACGCTATTTCAGGAGTGTTCAATCCAAATCTTATTAATTGGACGAACACTCCCCATTATGTTTGAATATTTTGAACATGTTTTACCATAAAATATCACTCCTGCTTGGGCTGATAGTTTTGGTCAATTTTACAAAACCTTGCACTGCTACAACTGGATCGATTAAAGGGGTAGGCGTGTGCTTTCTGGCAGCCACTGTCAAATATAGTAAAGCAAGATGCAACAGCCTACACGCCTTTTGTCCCCTTGTAACAGAAGCGTGATGTTTTTCATGTCAAAAAGCAGGTAATATTTTGATTAAGGTCAAAGACAGTTCATCTCAGTATTTATGCGTAAACTGCGCGAAGCAAAAAGGAGTGTCCAGGATTCTGTCGATTTTCTTAACGGTAGGATATTTTTTTAAACCACGTGATTGGTAACAACTTTGCTAAATATCTCCGTAATGAAAACCACAATCTGTCCTGTCGTTAAATAATTCACGACTTCTCAACTGGTGTTCGAGCTGGTTTCCTACTAAATACCCAACTTTATCGTGACTACTTGTCAAATATTCTTCAGTCACGAACAATATATCTTTTATTCAGAAATTGTAAGCAAACCAAGAGAGACGGAGTAGACCTATAAAAGATGTAAAGTTATGAAAGTTTTACTTATTTAGTTTGAGGATTTCACCAGCAGCATTTCAGTATCAGGACCTACTTTTTAATTTGCCATAATGGAGTCCTTTGCTGTAGACTGTGATTTGCATAACTGTCCATGGGGAAACTGGGTGGATGGATAGTGCAGAAGCAATTTGAGACGCATACTAATAATAACATTCAAGTATTTGTCAGGTCTCTGGATAAGTCCTCTCAGGGTTGTTGAAGGGTTTTAAAATAGCCTCTTAGCAAGGAGATGTTTTCCATGCATTTTACAACATTTAGAACCTTAAACTGAAACTCATATCTTGACAGTATGGATTCGGTACATTCGCAAAATATCAGTTGTCTTTTGAATGACAGGTTCATGTAATAATTTTTGACAAAAGATTAATAATCTATATTGAAGTCTGTGCTCATCTTTGCCGATGGCCATTTGTCACTTCCTGGGAACTCTTAAACAAGCTTGAACAGAACTGCAGCTCTCTAAAATCCTCAGTGAGTTGGCATGAGTGTAGCAGTTGGGAAGAGTTAAAAATAAATCCTTCATTACCAAAAAGCCTATAACTAGGAACAAATTTTCACTGTGCAGTCTGAGAATTTTTGGCCAGTCTGGCTAGATGTCTTGTGCTGAAACACCTGTTAAATTTTGAACTAGTGAAAAACTGAAAGGCTTCTCCACACTGAGGCAGAGGCTTATAGTGTTCATGAAAAGGCTACTATGCCACTAGAGCAGATTGCACAAATGTTCAGGCTTGTTGGTGGTCTCTTTATGTTCTGAAGCTTTGTTGGCATAGCAACCGCAATGGTGTTTTAGGTCTCAGCTGATGGTTTCTCATTGAATTATTGCTGTTGTTGTTGTTTGGTGGTAGCTGTGAGGAGAATGTAGAAATAAAAAGGTATGACGAGTATGGCTTTTCACCTTGGGCTGCATACTAACATGAGTTAGGCTAATATAAACATTGCAGTAGCAGCAACATGGTATTGCATTCTTCCAGATGTGTGTATATTCTACTCCTATGTCTTGTGATGTTACGTGCAGTCTTTGAACTGATGCCTGTGCCCAAGCTGGATAAGCATGTTAACATCTGTCAACCCTCCTCTTACTGTCACCCCTTGTAGCATCATGCCAGTTCATGTATTATAACTTTATAATAGAGCAAGATAATTTACATATACAGTATATTCAGATGACTAGTGAGGAATCTTGTGTTTTAATGGAGATGTATACAGTAGATACAACAAAGCATTTATGTTCTGTGGTTATTGATGCTAATTACAGCCCACTCTATATTCTCCGAAGTGTATCAAGATAGATTTCTAATAATTTGCACAGTCTTTCTATTTTGTCACTGATTTTAGTCATTATGACAGGCTACTCAATCATCAGTGGCTATAATCAACATTATTAATATATTCCTTCTACCGTATATTGCAGGTGTGTGACTGATTTGTATCTGCTAGAGTCAATAGGAACAGACTGTAATTTTTTATACCTGTTACTTAAGAGTGATCTTGAGTCATTTCATTTTTTTGTCATAATATTGAGATATTTCTGTCCCGCGTTCACTACAGGTTTGCATTGTTGTTCTGAGTTGTGGGCTCTTTGAAAGCTTTTGATTGGAAAACCTCTTTAGCTCCTTTGCACTATGGACATGAGTGAATGCATTTGTCCAGTTTTCCTTGGCAAAGAAAGAGAAAAAGAGATGCTGTAACTGCTGTGCCATTTTATTTCAAGGGTGTGCAGAAAATATGTAACACCTACTCCCCTTCACTCCTTCCTCTGCACTGCAACTGCAGCAGAGTTGGCTTAGTCTTATGCCTGTGAGCTGTAAGTAGCCTCCAAAAGCTCGCTCTGCCTGCATCCGGCTGCACAGAGAGATTAATGGAGCATGAGAGAAAGATACAGAAAAGGAGCACACGTGCATACTCGCCACGTGGCGGGGGGCGCTTGTACAGTAGGAGCAAATGATTGAAGAGGAGCGATAACTGACGGATGGTGAGTAGAGGACAGCCGTCATTTACAGTCTGTTTAAAGTAAAGACATAACTCATTTCCTTCTCAAATTCAATTCAATTCAATTTTATTTGTATAGCGCCAAATCACAACAAAAGTCATCTCAGGACACTTTACATAGTAAGGTCTAGACCTTACTGTTATTATTATAGAGGAAAACCCAACAAATCCCCCTTGAGCAAGCACTTGGCGACAGTGGGGAGGAAAAATTCCCTTAAATGGAAGAAACCTCCGACAGACCCCGGCTCTTTGTGGGCGGCCTTCTGCCTCGACAAGTTGGGATGAGTGGATAGAGGAGAGAGAGAAAAGAAGAAAAGCAACAAGACACAACAAACTACTGATCAGGTCGATGTGGCTGGTGACTGCTCGTCAGAGACATAGAGCTCCAGGGCCAGGGCAACCTGCAGAAAGGTACAGGGAGAGAGAGGGGGGACACACTACGGGGAAGAGGAGACGCACAGCTAGTGATGGGTAAATATGGCATATAGATGCACAGACAGGGAATGTATAAGGGAACAATGTATAGGGAACCTTCCTTAAAAACCCTTAAGTGTACCTACTTTGTCAGCAGATAAAATATCTTTGACATTTGCTAAGAAGCACATGCTCCATCACACCATTTACTCCAGCACCTGCTTGATGAATCAGAGAGATATTTAAGTGATAAGCACGATCATAAGGGTTTGCTGGGGTGAAGCTGTTTTTTGAAGCACAATTTGTCAACAGTGATTATTGTACCTGCTTTGCTCTCACTATGAAAATGACTCTGTGTTTCTTTGTCTGCGTCACTTTTGCAGACCCACTTTTTAGGGTTCTCTTGACTGAATAATAGGGATTGCTTATTTATTTAGCTTTGTTTAGACAGATAGACTATATGTCATACATTATAAATGTATTCTTCCTGCTTATTCACATGTCCTCAGATATTTTTTAAGAGATTGTTGCTGAGGCCCTATTAGATTGAATGCTTATTCCATTTATTAATTTTCTT